TCGTATCTGAAAAAAATCGTAGAATATGAAAACATTGGTGAATGTCACAAATTCTCCTAAATCACTCGTACGCACAACTTGACAACAAATCTGTGTACGAACGGTTCTTGCATGAGGCCCATTTCCACCAGACAGAGTCCGTTCGCTTCTCCTCTCTGCTTCAAATATGACAAACATTAAAAAAAAGTTATGAAATTTATTTATCTATCAACACAATTTTGAATTAGATGTATAGCCTGAAGTCGGTAATTTTGACACAATTTGGAACAGATTTTTATGGAGAGTAAATCTTTCCCACTAAATCGGTCATGTGACCAGGACATGTCCAGGAACTCCAGGGGATTAATCGTCAAATTAATCGTTATCGGCTAAACACCACAAATAATCGTGATTAATTTTTTTTTGCCAATATTGCCCAACCCTCGTTATTATAAGTTTCCAAACAATATTAACGTTTATCGTGATAATTTCTGAGACAATTTATTGTCCAGCAGAGTTTATCGTGTTTAAAATCAACTGGCCTAATTCTGCTGTTAATTAAAATCTGTTTGGTTTCTGAGATATTTTGCTGACACAGACACTGCTTCCTGGGAAAACAAGGAAATGGGTTTAATTGGTTTATTTAATCTTAATATTTTCCTGGAGGGACAAACACATTCTTTTTCAGTTCCAGTCTGTAAACTTTATCATTATGTCTATTTAGAGCAAGAAAAAAAATCACAAAAGGTGTTTTTATTCCATAAAGTCTGAAGCCGGTGAGCAGGAAGTGTCAGCAAACATTCAGCTCTGCTGAACTCCACAAAACAAACGGCCATCCAGACATCTCCTATCTGACAGCCGCACCTTTATCTGTATAATCTAAATTCAGCCCAAGAAAAGGAGGCTATGTAGGTCAGTGTGCTCCTTATTTTGAGCTCGCAGTCTGTTCTGTCGAGAAATCCTTTTTTTTCAGGAAGCAAACGGGATTTGGCACCAGAAGCCAATCTTTTAAAGCTCTCATTTGGCCGCGGGATCTGCGCAGATCTGCCACTGCCAATGACAACACTTCCATCCATGACAAGTTATTTTTGATTTTTCAACATTACGTCTAAACTAAAACACTCGAACATATTTTCTTTATCTTTAAAAAAAAGGAAAAAAAAGAAGTCCCTTTTCTGAATTAGGAAGTGGCCACGAGCAGATGTCTTCCTGTTAGTCCTTTCTCAGTTTAGGCTGTCTCACATTCGCCCACTTGGGGCTATTTATTCCCTTATTGGCTTTTGCATGTGTTCAGTGCAGACCTTTTTAACAGTGGGGCACCTTATAATTATGGACAAGCATCATGGCAACTATGGAACACACGCCACATATGTGAAGCAGATGCTACAGTCTTCTCCATCACCAAACCAGTTGGAGCCATGTGCAGAATTAATAAATAAATTAATTAATAAATAAACTAATCAGTTATGAATAATCTCAGCGGCTGCCTTTGTCGACCTGCGATGAACAATACACACAAATTATAATCCAGTCTTTGTTTTTCAGCTCCCAGTCCTGGTGCTGAAACATCAAACACATTCGATAACGTCCTGATGAATCTCAGTAATCCAGGTAGAAAAAAAATCAAAGAGAAAAAATCAGTAGGTCCTCTGGACGGCTTCTTTAATGAAACGTTTCATCTCTCCTCCAAGAGACTTCTTCAGTCTGATGAGTTTCAGGTGAAACTCAGCCTTATAAGCTCCGCCTCCACATGGACAAACAGGTTAGTCACATGCAAAATAGGGCCATCAACTAACAATAGGCTTGATTAGTTCTGTTGTTCATAGAGCAGTGGTTCTTAAGCTGGNTATGATGTTTACATGTCAGTTTTTATCAATAATGACACCTAGAAACTTCACTTCACTGACTCTACAGATCTACATCATTAATGTTAAATGAAACATCTACAGTTCTCTTATTGTTGCAGAAAATCATATAATTTGTTTTGTCCAAGTTTAATGATAATTTATCAAGTTGAAACCAACTTTGTATTTTCACAAATTCTGTCTGTATCATGTCCAACATTTAAGAACGTTGTATCATCAGCAAGTAGAACACACCGAAAAAGGCCCGGCACATTAACCAAATCATTCACATACAAAATAAATAACTTAGGTCCGAGAATGGAACCCTGAGGCACTCCATATGAGATGTTACAAAACTCAGATCTTACATTATTTATTTCTACATATTGTTTTCTATCTTCCAAATAACTAGATACCAACTGTAATGCCTAAATCTAACCTAACCTGSTTGCGGAGGAAAGGAAAAAAGTGTTTGGAAAGAGCTGTCGCCAAAGCTCCTAAAAGTCTCTAAAAACACCGGGAAAAGTCGCTAGATTTATCACTAGTCACTTTTTGGAAAAAAGTCACTAGGGGGGTCTAAAAAGTCACTAGATCTAGTGACAAAGTTGCTAAGTTGGCAACAGTGATGAAGTAAATATATAAAGAGATAAATTATTGAAACAACTAACATTCTTGAACTTCAACAACTGACTGATTTGTGGGCATTTTTGGGTTTTTTCTAAGATCAGTCTGCTGAGGCGGCACGTTGACGTCTCCAAAAGCCAATAAGTTGCACATGTGCATACACAAACAAGATCACTGTTAGCTCCCTGTCGCTAACTCTGTAAAAAAAGACTCATAAAAGTATAATCATAACATGACTTCAGCATTACTTACCTGGAAAGGGAAACTCCCCCAGCTTTCCCAATGAGCTCCTCGTGATGGAGAACAGCATCGTTCCAAGGAATATTGAGGAACTCCAGTAGAGTCCTCATCCATTTCTCTGGATGGAGAACMAGCTGTTCATAGTGCAGTGGTAGGCACTTGTCTGCTGCCTCCAGGCACTGAGTGTACATGGTTTCTATGGCCCGGTTCCACTTGGTCAGGCAGTCCCGGTAGCTGCCCAGGTCAAAACCTGCAATTGTCACTTTGCGTGAGATCATAGAGTAAACCGAAGCTCGCCCATCACGAATCATCAGCACAAATTTGGCACGTGGGAAAATCTTGGCCAGGTAGGAAAGCGACTTTAGTGCAAACGGGTCCTTATTGCAGAGGAAGTTGGCAGGTTCTCCATGTTTGACGATGATCTCCAACAGAAAGGCCTGCATGGCAGCATCCAGCACCTCGTCTGTCACACCCGCCTCATCCAGACGCATCTTCTCCCGCCCTGAACGACTCCACATCTGCTTCATGGCCAGAATACGTGGAATGACWCGTGTTTCTTCACCACATCGCACGTGTGGGTGAGCATCCAGCATGGCTCTCATTAGAGTGGTCCCGCTTCGAGGCACGCCGCCTATAAAGATGAGTGGCATGTCTTTGTTGTAAACATAAGGTGTGCTGACATTCTGTCCTGTCCGTAGAGTGGTCCGCATCCTGCCTCCGAGGGCTGACAGAGGCAGGACTCCCCCAGACTGGCTGCGCTGCCCCTCACCCCGGTGATGGCAGTCCATGGCGAGGCGTCCAAGGTAGAAGACCGTGACGAAGGTGATGATGAGGCAGGTCAGCAGCAGGTTCTGTTTCAGCTTCCCTAACATGGTGCAGGTCATGTGATGTCACCACTCTAACTTCCAGCAAAGCATAAGACAATGCTTTAATGGGTCATTAGGGTTCGCTGAAAACCAAGCATGGATCAAGCTCCCGGGTGCCCAGCAGGTGTAGAGTCCACAGCTCCATGAGGCCTGGATTGTGACACAACACAAAAAACACAGTTCCTTTAAAGAAATAAACAATGCTAACAGTAAAGATTAACAAGAAACTGTCCTTTGTGTTGATTGTGTAAAATTATTTTACGACAGTAGCTGTGTTTCCATTACAAATSTGCGCAAAACTTTGATGAAATTATGTTAATGTCAACAAAACCGTTTCACAACTGCAGTGTTTCCATTAAGTAATAAATGTTATTAAAGTCACGTGAATACGTTTGTTCTCATGATAAGTCATTACAAACATGGCAGCGATGGATGTAAACACATAGCATGTTGCTACCACGNGGGATATATCGTATCGTGACCCCTCTGTTATGATATGTATCGTATCGCCAAATTCTTGCCAATACACAGCCCTATTCGGTGGAGCCTCTTCCGTGGAGGTAAAGACACACTTGTGTCAAGTCATGATGACACGCCCCGCTTGGCCATCACCTGCTGCAGAGGGTCACGTGAGATTGCTTGGCCAATCAGTGCTGGCCCCAAAAAGTATTTTGTGGATTCAAAACGACAAAAAACAAATTAACTTTCAATTAATTTTTAAAAAAAGTTATTAAAAACATTAAATTCTTCAAAAAAAAATCCCAATTTATTTTTTATTAGTAAAATAGTAAAAAAAATTTTGGGGGGCTGAAATTTTTTTATGGGTGCAAATTATTTTTTTTGGGGCCAGAATAAAGTCATACTGTAATTTATTGTGAGTTCATGCACTGTGTTGGTTTTGTTCTTTGAGCAAGGTGATGTTCATGCACGGCTCATTTTATACACCAGTAAAAAAAACATATTCCTTTGTCTTGAATTTGGAAAAAAAAATCATATTTTATTTATCACTAAAAAGGGTTCAGTGAATGTGCATACGAAACTGGTGGGTTTGGTACCTCAAAAAAGGCTAAGAACCACTGTCATAGAGGGTCATGTGCCCCATCACCTGACCCGTGTCGTGTTATGTGAATGTAGTGAATGCAAGCGGGGGTTTAACGTCCCCATCAGGCTGAGTTCACCTGAAACTCATCAGACTGAAGAAGTCTCTTGGAGGAGAGACGAAACGTTTCACTAAAGAAGAACCATCCAGAGGATCTACTTATTTTCTCTTTTTGACATTCAATAATTGTGTAAATTATTAATTAGAATTAAAAAAACATCCCAACGCTGAAACCAAACAGAGTTTTATATATATATTTTTTTATTCCTTTGAGTTCACACAAGGACTGCTGGCTCCTGGTTCTGATGAGATTAAGAGTCGTTCTGCTGTTAATAATGTTTGGATGTGACTTCTAATACTTCCAGTTTCATTTCAGATGAAAAGATGTTTAAGGGTTTAGTTGGGATTAAAAATCTGTGATGCTCTCTGCATCAGAGGCGCTCATTCATTTCTGTTTAGTTTTGCACAGTTGTCTTTATTAATGTGTTTTGTTTAATTGGTATTAATCTTTTTAAACTGTTTTATTGGATTTTCTCTAAATAGAAACTAAGAAATGATTTAGTAGCAAAATGAAATCAGAACGATGCTAACAGGCTCTGGTTTTGGAACGCTCACATGTAACACAAATATTAAGTTTGTGTATTTACAGCCTTTTTAAATTGTAATTTTGTGTAATATTTAAATTCTTTACAGATCAGAAGCCGACCAGTGTGCGAAATGATTATCTCCTGTGTCCTGCTCCCGTTCTTTATGATGTCGGACAGTAAGTGGATTTATTTTCTTGGTGGAAACTGATTGAAGACTAATTTAATTTGATTTAAATGTCCATATTTAAAGGTGGAACGAGGGCCTGAGCTTTTACTGTGAAAGTAAAACTGGTGGAAAATCAAAATAAATCAAAATGATCTATTTTTTTCATATTTAAAGCCCAAACAATGTTTAAAATTAAAATTATTGACATAAACCAGGACAGCTTCAGCACAGTGAGCAGCTCTATTTAGTCCAAATAAAGTAGTTATTGTGTTGTTTAGTCTCACTGTGACTCGCTGGGTTTCCATGTACCTCGATGACCGCCTCCATGTGGGCGTGGCCTAAAACGTCTGCAGGTTGTTTTTAATATTTGAGGCAAACAGAACAGAGTTTTAGGTAAACAAATGACATAAAAGCACGATAAAACAGGACCACACGTTTCACTTCCTGTCCAGGAAGCCTTCTGGAACTCCACGTTACTCCTGACATTTTGAATCAGTGCTAGCGAGCTATATCCACCCTGAAGGTTAATCTTGGACAATATCTGATGATCGACTCTTTTAAATGAAACCAGAGAGCGTTGACAGAGAGGAGA